TCTACCCGTATATGTTAATTGCATTTTGTAAAGAACGACTCTTTGATTAAGTTCATTGTTTCATTTCTTATATATTTGCAGTTTTTCATTCATATTGTTTTTAACATTCCAGCATTTGCTTGGCATATTTCCCCAAAAAAATCCATTTATCTCAGTAACTGCGATTGTGTGTCACCAGCTTCGACATGTCAACATCTGCATGTGATACCTCCTATGTGAATAATCCTAACTGTAATATTTGCCGTGAAAGATAAACCAAACACAAAACATAATTTAAATACGCTATTGTTATGTAAGCCAATATACTCATTCAACCAGAGTCGCTTCCTTTTCACTTTTGCTAGGTTTTCAATCACATAAAATAAATGAAAATCAATATATAAATCTTAGCGTGTTTGTATTTTTCACGTCATTTACGTCATCTTCCTAAAGTTCGTTCTTCTTCAGTATATATACATGGGCACACTATTACAAGAATGGTTATACAACGCAGAATAAACGATAAAACATCGCCTCCGACTATACCTTCACAATGTTTTCCATAATGTCCAACAGGGCAGATGCATCTATAGCCGTTAACTAAATCCACACATGTTCCTCCCCGCTGGCACGGCCGACTGGCACATTCACTGATTTCTAAAAAATACGCATACAAACTGTAGATATCAGTGTGTGTAAAAAGTACCTTATTGTATAAGTGGCATGCATTCCGGAACAAGCGGGTTACGTCAGCTGGAGTTCATGTTTTAGATCGACTATACATTTATATGTGAATAAAGGTTAGTCTTTAAGCTGAACATTAAAAGCAATTGGCTTTCTTCTGCGTGAATTTTACCAAAGTTCAATTAGTGCATTACTCCTTGGATAAGTACCATTTTCTTTAAATGGTATTGTGAATGCTGACGGGCATGTTTGAAGGTGCGTGTGTGTGTGTGTGTGTGTGTGTAACAAAAAAAGAGAGAGATATGTTTGTTTCTTATTCCACGTTGGCACACATAATTACCATACTGGCAAAGATTCCCGGCAAATCCTGCTGGGCAAACACACTCATAGTGACCATGGCGGTTTTGACAGGTGGCTCCGCTGGGACATGGGCTACTTATACATCCATCGATGTCTGAGAAAAAACATGTTTGTAACTCATTCGTTCTTAATGGTATCATAATTACATTGGCTATAAAATAGAAATGATGTGACATCATAACTGCGTTACATTAAATATAAAGTACGTACGTTTTTCACAGTTTCTTCCGCTGTGCGTTCTTGGGCAAATACAGCTGTATGTTGTAGTTCCAGTCACACATGTTGCACCGTTTTGACATGGTTGACTGAGGCAATGGTCACCAGCTTCGACCCCTGAAACAGAAATTTTAGTACAGATCAACACACGCTTCCAATCAAATAGGTTACTTCATTCTTACAGAAACCGTGTGACGAGAAAAGTTATGTTTTGATCAATTTACCAGTTACCGCATGCACCCGTTGCTAGATCGGCGGAGCAATACCGGAGGGCTCATGAGTTACAATCCTATATTTGTAAAGGTATACCGTTTAGTACGTACATTTTTCGCAGTTTCTTCCAGAGTACGCTTTAGGACAAATACAATTGTACGTTGTAGTTCCATTTGCACATGTTGCACCGTTTTGACATGGTTGACTGCGACAGTGATCAACCACTGAAACAGAAATTTTACAACACACTAATATACGATTCTAATCAAGTTGCTCCGCTCTTTCGTCAACCATCCAATAAAGATATCATAGCAGAGAGTCGTGAAATATGTATTTGATATGCATACAGTTCTACACGTATGTGTAAATTGCATTTTGTTAAGAACGACTCTTTGATTAAGTTCATTGTGGTTCATTTCCTACATGTTTGAAGTTTTTTATTCATATTGTTTTTAACATTTCAGCATTTGCTTTGCATATTTTCCCCCAAAAAATCCATTAATCTAAGTAACTGCGATTGTGTGTCACCATTTTCGACATTCTAACAGATGCCAGCGATGTCAAATCTGCTTGTAATACCTCGCATGTGAATAATCCCAACTGTAATATATGCCATGAAAGATAAACCAAACACTTAACATAATTTAAATACGCTATTGTTATGTAAGCCAATGTACTCATTAAACCAGCGTTTAGTTGCACACTATTACAAGAAGAGTTATACAACTCAGAATAAACGATAAAACATCGCCTCCGACTATACCTTCACAATGTTTTCCATAATGTCCAACAGGGCAGATGCATCTATAGCCGTTAACTAAATCTACACATGTTCCTCCCCGCTGGCACGGCCGACTGGCACATTCACTGATTTCTAAAAAATACGCATACAAACTGTAGATATCAGTGTGTGCAAAAAGTGCCTTATTGTATAACTGGCATGTTCTCCTGCTGGAACAAGCGGGTTACGTCAGCTGGAGTTCATAATTTAGATCGACTATACATTTATATGTGAATAAAGGTTAGTCTATAAGCTGAACATAAAAAGCAATTGGCTTTCTTATGCTTGAATTTTACCAAAGTTCGATTAGTGCATTACTACTTTGATAAGTAGCATTTTCTTTAAATGGTATTGTGAATGCTGACGGGCACTTTGTGTGTGTATGTGTGCGCGCGCAAGTGTGTGTGTGTGTGTGTGTGAGTGTGTGTGTGTGTAACAAAAGGAGAGAGATGTTTGTTTCTTATTTCCACGTTGGCACACGTAATTACCATACTGGCAAAGATTCCCCGCAAATCCTGCTGGGCAAACACACTCAAAGTGACCATGGCGGTTTTGACAGGTGGCTCCGCTGGGACATGGGCTACTAATACATCCGTCAATGTCTGAGAAAAAACATACGTTTCTAACTCATTCATTCTTAAGGATATCATAATTACATCGGCTATAAACTAAAAATGACGTGACATAATAACTTAATGCGTTACATTTTTAAATATAAATTACGTACGTTTTTCACAGTTTCTTCCGCTGTGCGTTCTTGGGCAAACACAGTTGTATGTGGTATTTCCATTCACACATGTTGCACCGTTTTGACATGGTTGACTGCGGCAGTGATCAACCACTGAAACAAGACATTTTACTATATATCAACACACGATTTCTATGCAAGACGTTGCTCTTTTTTAAACAAATTTTTCTTATTAAGAAGACAAATAAAAAAGCCATAGATATCTTTTAAAGGGAAATATCACTTAATATAATGTTTGTTCTCCTACTAATACGTTGTACACCCAAACCCAATATAGAGGTACATTTTACATGATGAAGTGTCAAAAAATATAATTGAATTTAAAACATATATGTATATGGAACAAAAAATCTGCGAGTGTCTAAATTTAAATTCAAATTTTAATTTTCACCATGTCTTTTATATTACGCGAAGAGCCTTTTAAGTTGAAAATGGTAACTATATGTTCCAAAAACGTACGGTAACGTATTTCCCGGGTCATTTAATCAAAATTTTTATACTGCGTTTCGATATATTTTGTACTGGTTCAGTCCTGGTAAATTAGACATGTCGTAAGGACGCTTTTATAAATATTTAAACTGTAACTAGCTTTGCGTCATGGCTAGTACTAGGTATCGAATCTTTCCTAGAAAAATTGTCAAAATGTTTCATTTTGTTCAAGTATTTGGTGCAAGAGCTGACCGAAAATATATTGTGGTTCCATGATTGTTTGACATTTTTGATGTTTTATTTGGAGCACGAGGGGAAAAATAATTTATTTAATGCTTATTTTACTGTCGGTAGGGTGTATTTTCCCCGTTTTTTTTATTATTCAATGACAAGCAAACTAAAGTTGCTCAAAGACAATTAATTGCTCTATACAGAAGATTATTATAATTTTTTACAACGTTATACTTGAAGGTGATAGGCTACATCAAATAACAAAACCAGTGATGATTGAATTTTCAAAGTGAGTAAAACATTTCATGGTTGAACGGTTTGCATTTGTGCCAGTAACATATGCTCCTTTTTTGGGGATGGAAGATAAATTAATTTTTTATTATTCATGGTTCCATGAAGAGTGAAGCTTTGATACAATCTTCTTCACGTGAGACCTTAAAATAATAAGACATAATTTGCAATCTGTGCACTAAATATTTTTAAGAGCATTCCCGTGACTTCGATTGCACCTCTATATTGGGTTTGGGAGTTTAAAGTCCTCTGTATTATCACTGAACATTTTAAATAATTATAATGTGAAGTGTATTGTTGGTGAGTATGGCCCTTTAAACACAACAGCAAGCACAGGACAACAAACCTCTTATCACTTTTAAGCACACCATCGCGACCTATCCTAAATATTTCATCAAAACCCATTCATAACATTTTGAGTGAGGATGGTGACGAACAGGAAGACAGACAAACGGAGGTGAAAACAACCTTCTTGGCATCGGTAGTAATAAAACACATTGTCTGCGACGATACCTTTCAAAGTGCATTGCTTTCCATCATGTCCAACTTGACAGATGCATCTATAGCCGTTTACTAAATCCACACATGTTTCTCCCCGCTGGCACGGTTGACTGGAACATTCATTGATCTCTAGAAAATATATATTTGAAAAGTGTTTCAATATATTATTCGTCTTTTGTCGGACCAAGAGGGTAGCGTCAGCTTATGTTCATGTATTTGTCTATATTATCTGTTAAACCAATTTGAAACTTACATAAAGGCCTTTGCTATGGGTACCAAATTATTTTGAAAGCCAATTATTCCCTATTTCTGACAGAGTTTATGTTTACAAAACTTTCTTTATATCTCAGTAGCGATGGTAAATCATTAAAAGCTGATATAAGTAAAATATTGTTGATGAATAAACGCGTTTTTTGTAGAGGTGTAGGCTTTGTTAACGCATTCGATCTACCACACGTAGGGGCATCACTGCTGTGACGTCACACCAGTCCACGTGCACCCACCTACGTCACACGTAGTACCAGTAAAACCAGGCAGACAGGCGCAGGTAACGGAGTTCCCATTGGTCGAGCACGTCCCGTTATTGTGACACGGTCGACTGTAACATGGATCAGGAGCTAAGAAGGGCGATAAATATAAAAAACAATGACATTATCGATAAGTTGTATATTTTTGGGGTGGAATCGAAATAAACGTAGATAACTTTAGAAAAATCATAATCGGTCTTTTATAAAAATCGTACATCAACTGAAAGAGAAATGAACGAATGGAGCCTTACTAAAAGACGAATTTACCTGCCTATGTATTAGTGCCATTACTAGTAGAAGTACTAATATATCAAATAGTATCACTTAAATCTAAACAACCAAAATGTGGTTTGTCTCCTGTGATATCTAAAAAGGAGTAAATGAGAATTCTTACTTACATCATTCTTTTTAACATGTTCAGGGTCCTGTTATTTAAACAGATATTGCGTAGTATCTCACCTTGCGTCGTGACTTTTAGTGGTCCACCTTTGCACTTCAGATAACTTTGGGTTAAAAAGTCTAGGGTATGCTCTGCAAGACTAATCCTAACATCTAAATGCTCCCACGACGCGCCATAGTACAGCTGTCTCTTTCCTATGATAAAAGAATGGGCGTTTTAAGTCATTCGGTGTGCATGTCAACGTCAGCCACCTCCGCACCACAGCCTTAGTCAATTAGGTCACTCAGTTCAAACGTTGTCTTCATACGATGTCTGAGAATTCCACTGGGTATTTTTCGTTACCCGTGAAAGCCACTATTTTTTCCCGAGACGGTGAAACGTTCACATTGTTAAGCGTGATCCGTGAATAACCTCAATCCCGTGACTCGCGAATGCAGCCTATTATTGTTCTTATTCGTGAACCAAAGTCATTGTACTCAGTTATTTGTGATTTTCAACTCGTATTTTCTTCAAACTGCTTCAGTGATATAAAAAAGAAAAGTTCGTTGCAAAACGCAGTGCAGTTGTTATACGCGGCACTGTACCCCTACTGCCTTTATAATGTTGTATCGGCCAGAGTGAATTTTTTTCATAATGAAGCTTGCAATGAAAATATATGTTTTCTCAAATTGTATATTAAGGCATGTTCATTTTTATCCTAGAGGAAAAATTGAACACACAGGACTTAATATCTATTTAGCAAACCGTAATACATGTAAGGTCAGCCTTAGAATGTGCAACGTCCCCTTTGGGGACCAGAGCAATCTGAATTTATTGTATTCGTCCAAAAAAGTCCTCAATACATTATATACCCAGGTTTTGTTTATCAGGATGCCCTTCAGACTAGTAAGCTCAAAACTTTGATATAAAGAAGTGAAACAACATACACAAAGGATAAATATTAAAATATAAAAGACCCAATAGTTAAGATTGATAATTTAAAAAAACTCTTGCATAAATTGCTTACCTTAGTTAAATCAGTTCAATTTTCCTTTAACATTTAACAACTTTAACCCCTATGAGTCGGCGGAAATTGAATGATGCCAATATAGTTATAAGACATAATCATTTCATACACACACACATTCACACACACACACACACACACAGAAGGAGAGAGAGAGAGAGAGAGAGATTTAAGTTTATTACACACAAGTACAAAACCCACCTATGACTGGCTTTAAAAAGCCTGAGACGTCTGGATGCTGGAATAGAGTTGGACATTCCTTGTGAAGAGTATCGCCGATTTTCTCAATTTGAACCTGAAGTTTTACAAACTCTAGGAGTTTGGAAAACTGATTTTGATTAACCGATGGGATATTCTGTCCTCGGCCAAATTTAAGAAAGATGCACAGAAGCAAAACGCCACCTCGAAAACTGAACATTATCGTACAGTAAGTTCTCTCTGTCTGACGAGCTTAAAGGCAAGTGTGTCCGCGTTGGTTTATAAAGCTATGTACGGACCAATCGTGATGGGAGAGCGTGATGAGGAGACCTAGGAGTAAACTCTCTGATTAATGCATGTTACGTTTTGTTTCATTCTTATTTAAAGTCAACGGTTTTCACCTGTAAATGGGTCCTAAATAATTTATGGCCAAATTAACTCTGTTAATAACTTTCGCCCGTGAAAATGCTCAGAATGTCTGCGTTTATTTTACGAGCTAAGCAAAAAAGCTAACCAAGAGGCTTTTCTCTTCGTCCTAATTGCCCCTGTGAACCCCTAGGCCAAGGTGCTGCTCCCGTCCTTTTTGGGGTCAGCGGTAGAACGTATACAGCAAAGACGTAGGGCCTACATGTATTGCAGCGCTCTTAAGTCACGACTCGTGATAAAATTTGAACCTGAGGACATGTATTGACCCTACTTACGTATATTATGTGACACAAAATAGGTAGGTCAGATGGCAGATGGCTTGACTGCATTTTGAAAATCACAATGAAAACATTTTTACGTAACAAGTTTGCAATGTAACGGAGAATTTCGACTTCAAAGATAATGATGGCCTTTTCGGTACACACAAGAACGCAACGTAATAGGTATGGCCCCTTGCCCCAATTTTATAAAGATTCTAAAATCCTTAGTTGACTAGGCTTAGATATGTCACCCAGTAAGGTCAACTACGCTGTAGCTGACTGGGTGTGTTTCACAAACAATCTATTTACGGTAGTCACCTTGGCTAACATTTGCTAGGGAAACTTTTCAAAAATATGAGTTGTAAAAATAAGGATAAGTTCACATGACATGACGTTTCAAAGTTACATGTAGGTTAAACATTACTTTGTCTTGGAACGCCGCCTCGGACATCTAGCAGTCAAAAGTACATGTAAGATAAGATAAGAGTTTATTTAGCCAATTATAAAAAAATCGGAAATCATTTTCCTTTTGGAGCAATATACAGAGTAAAATAATAGAATAATACAATAAATAGATTAATTAAGAATTTGGTTTTGAGATCAGCAGGGTGATGTTGCATTCAATATTTATTTAAGAATTCAGTAAATTTCAGTAACATTATAATATATATTTTAACACAATACCTTGAATAAGGTATGAACCTTTTTCAAATTTTTTGTTGATTATGCTCTTATTTACCGAGTTTTAGTTTATTTTGCACACTAACTTAGACTTAAGACAGCTTCAGAGGTGCCGAGCCTTCGTTGACTTTCAGCTAGGAAAAGGATTCTCTGTGAAACGCGACTTACTGACTCACGGACTAAATAACATTTGTAACCAAGCTCTTACTCGGGGAACCCGACTAAAGTTTTATGTGAAACGAATGCTTTTTTAATTTCACAAAAAAAGTAAACTTTCCTGACTAAGAATGTGGTGTAGTCAACTACGAATTTAAGATTCTTTGCGAAACGGGGACATGGTTTCAATATTTTTAAACAACTGTAACAATGTATCAGAATAATTGCTAGAATCAGAATATGAATATGTTCAGAATAAAATAAAACTCGACGTAGTTCGTTTCTTCTTTAAATGGGGGAAATAAAAGGCTCTCGAATGTGTGTTGTGGGTATTCGTATAAAAATACGTGTTGTATAACCTATATTTTTGGAAACTAAATCACGGAGCAGTCACCAGTATAACAGTGATATAAATCAATAATGGTAAGATCTTGAATACAGTTGAGTAAGAAAGTGCTGTATAAGGTTTATTTTAAGTCCTCTATCATTTAAGACCAATTCTTGGATTTATATTGGTTCCGCCCAAATCGTCTACTGGTAGGACTTGCAGGACCCAGAAGAGGGTCGACTTGGGATAATAAAGTGAGCAGCGAAAATTTGGCATTTACAGGGGTAGGGCAAGACCGATGGCACGGTATTAAGAGCACGTCCATGAGTAAACCAGGCAAATCGATCAGAAAGTGGCATGGTGGGGGTAAACAAATTTTAATAATTTTTGGTGTGGTAAACCATCAATATGAAAGATGTTGGCAGCCACTGGCTTTCTTATTTAGGATCATTAGTTTTAGAGATATTGGCCGGGCAACGTCTTTTTTGGCAAAATATAGCATTTTTTAGCTCTTGAAAAGTTATAATTTTAAATATTCTTCTAAAAAATCATGTACATCATAAGGAATTATGTAGGTAAGCCATATGATAGGTTAAGAAAAGACCTTTAATACCCAGTAAAGATTTTTTCAAAATGGCACTGTCATGACCACACAAGATTGATTCTAATAATTCATGTTTCCCGTATGCTTGAGTCCTCCCCTTCTTTAAATGCACACATATTCTTTTTTGCAGGTTGTATCCATATAATTTTGGCATGTGCTGATAGAAAAGGGTGAAAAATACATTTTGTGAAATAAATCTGTGTTAAACCTTGTAAAATTAAAACTATAACAATTTTAAAAAGGGTCTAAAAACTGTTTCTTCAACTAAATCAATAAGTCAAAACCATATATATATAGGTTTGTGAAAAGCCCTTTGAATAAACATGTTTGCCCTACAGACAAACTTATGAAGCAAAAAAAAAAAAAAAAAAAAAAAAAAAAAAAAAAAAAAAAAATTTTTAAAATTATTTTTAAAAAAAAAAAAAAAAAAAAAAAAAGGTAAGTAATGAAGAAGTACCAGACATTGTTCGGGGG